CTTCCCCTTTATCAAGCCACTGTCTACGACGCTTAACATTTCGATAAAAGATCCATTTTTCGTTGCCAGGCACAAGTCTATCCAAAAAAGGTGAAACAAGTTGGCAAGAATGGAGAGAAGAGTAGATGTCAACTCGGGATTTGAGGTTATTTTCAGACAATTCATGAGGCACCCATTTTCCAAGTTTAGGAACTTTTCCAAGTTGTTGAAGATGACGATGAACAGTTGTATGGTCTGAACTGAGAACAACTACCAATTCCTCAACTGATAAAGCAGGATTTTCTTCAAGGGCTGCTTCAATAAGCTTTTCATCAAACTCAACTGGACGTCCGGTTCGATCTTCAACTTCAAGGGTGAAATCTCCACCTCTGAATTTTGCAAACCATCTTCTGCAAGTTCTTTCATTCACACATTCCTCTCCATAAACTGAGTGAATATTTCTAGCCGCTTCGGCTGCTGAGTTTCCTTTCTTGAACTCATAAAGCATTATGTGCATCAAATGATTCTTGGGTACTTCCATGTTAACAGGGTTTTAATAAAACAAAATTTAATTTTATTGTTCTCTGAAATAAAATTTGATCAGTTTAAATGCATCTAAACATAAAAATAATGTTCAGCTTCATTAGACATTATAAAATACTCTTTAAATTTCGTTCATTTTAACAAAAAGTTAAAATTCGGACAGAACTTATGGGATGACCTGATATATATATATATATATATATATATATATATATATATATATATATATATATATATATTTACGGATTAATAATTATACGTGAAAAGACATGCGTTGTATTCCTTGGTGCCATATTTATTACAACGTTTCGGCTGTTGTATGCTCCGGCCTTCTTCAGTTGGTTGGAATGTCGAACTGAACCCTTTATTTCGCTCACTGGGGTAGACTGTTCTAGTTCCACGTGCCATGTTTTAATGGATGTCAATTATCAGTTATCTCCTGTTAATTTCCCTCTGAAAGTTCTCCACTGCCTTAACCGGGTATTGAACTCACACTCTTTGGGTCCTATCACTGGATCTAACCAACGCCTTTATCCACTGTGCCATGTGTCCTTTATTTTTTTTAACTGCGATAAAATCAAGAAACTGATTAGAGAACTAGAAAGGTTCACTATAAAAATAAATTGACACAATATATCTATAGCACTTCATGAAAAATGTTTGAATAAAATGTTGCATTAAAAATAATGAGAAAGAACAATAAGATTTATAATCCGGTGTTATTTTTTATTTTTAAAAAACAGTGCTCAATACAATTCTGCGGAGCATAAATATTATAAGTCTACTAATTTAAAAATACGGTTCCATCGCTACACAGAAATTACCATGTTTCAAAAACAGAAACTAAAAACTTCAAATTCAATTATAGAATTAAATTAAAGTCCCTAGTTCTGTTTCATTTTCAAGCAAATTTTGGAATAACTTTTTTTGAAATTTACTGAGTTTTATAAGCACATACATTCTTAATATTAGTTTCTAAAGATAAAGGGAAATTCAATCATTTTCACAAGGGGTGGTAGTGTATTCATTTTCACTGACAACTATTGTATCAAAATATGAGTTACTTTCCAAATGAGGTTAAGTTAAGGTAGGGTAGGGGTGCCTGTTCAACAAATGATGACATCCGTTTTTCGCATGCCATCTGATTTTTTTTCAATGACAAAAAATTTTGGGGCATTTTTATTTTGCCGTTATATTTGCAATTGCATATACATTTTTTTTCCAAAAGAGTCTTTTGAATATGAGTACGTCGTATTATAATACAATTTAAAATTATTATCCTAATTCTAATTACTAATAGACTATATATATATATATATATATATATATATATATATATATATATATATATATATATAAAGGCTTAAACACTAATATTCCATGGTCATAATTTATTCACTGGAATCGTAAATACGATCCAATTCATCAGACCTACAAATTCAAATTGATGAATTGGATCGTATTTACGATTCCAATGGAATAAAATTATGACCATGGAATATTAGTGTTTAAGCTTTTTATTATATCCTTACTCTGTCCAAGACATTGAGTTCGACCTGGATTCTTCCTCTTGGAATTTTTTTCTGAAAATATACATGTATGGGTATTTATATATTTTGCATACGTATGTATATTTTCCACTAATATTATCTATATATATATATATATATATATATATATATATATATATATATATATATATATATAATAAAACAAATAAATATATTAGAATTACTTTCTTATTTAAAAATTATTATTCAAAGACCAACTATAAATATGAATGTTTCATTTTCATCTTTCTTCTTTTTATTTTTTCTATTTTTTATTTTATTTTATTTTTTCATTTTTTCATTTTTTTCATTTTTAATTTTTTTCTCATTAAATCATTATTTGAGGAAAATCTTTCACAGCTATTTCATTTCTTTGATTTAGGAAATTTTTATTTTTCATAAATTTAATAATGTATAATTTCTCAACTATGCTCAACTGATATGGGTCATTTAATCAACTACAAATTCTAGTTTTTCTTATTAATTTTCATTTTACAGTAGGTGTTTTATTGGTTTTCTTACATATATATATATATATATATATATATATATATATATATATATATATATATATATATATAAGCATTACGCCCTGAGCAAGGCGTGAAGCCACTAGGATGTTGCAGAAGATTTGGAGCAAGAGCAGATAGGAGTGATAGAAGAAAGGATGAGGAAGAAGGATAGTGGATAGATCAAGATAACTGGAGGTGTCGATTGACATTACATTTGAATAGTTGGAGATTATAGCTCTCAGGAAACAGTAATTAGGAAGGGTGTTCCACAGGCGAGAGGTGCGAGGTATGAAGCTATTGGACTAGAAGAGACGGCTACATTTAAAAGTTTCTACAGTGTAAGGGTGGGAGCGGGATGCCAGCCTCGTAGGGCTCTTGAATTCATGGAGTCTGGGAACCAGTGAAAGCAGCTCATCGGAACAATTACCATGAAAGTATTTGTAAAAAAGACAAAGAGAGACGACGGCGCGTCTGTGAGAGAGCAACTGTAGACGAGATGCCAGATCAGGGCCAATTATATTACATATCCGTCTCTGGATCATGTCAAGAACTCCGATATAAACAGAAGGTGCCCCAGACCATATATGGCAGCAATACTCCATGCAAGGGCGAATGGTTGATTTGTATATTTGAAGTATCGGAGAAGAATTTCCTGGCGCAGCACAGAGAGCCAACTTTCCTCGCGGTGGAAGAAGCAATACTCAATGTATTTGTTCCATCTCAGGTCAGCAGTCAACGTGAGACCGAGCAGACGCAGGGAGTTGCTCTCAAGAAGATGACTATCAGACATTCTAATGGGGGGCTGGGTAGGATCTCTATGGTGATTAATAGAGAATAGTTTAGTTTTTGAGGCGTTAAAGTTGACCAGCCAATTCTTGCCCCAATTAACAACCAATTCAAGACGCACGGCCAGGTTAGTTTTTCTCACTGACACTAGATTTGTTTTTGAGGCAGGAGTAAATTGTAGTGTCGTCCGCGTAGATGCCAACTTGGGGATCTATGGCGTCAGGAAGGTCGTTGATGAAAATAAGGAATAGAGTGGGGCCAAGGATGGGGCCCTGAGGAACACCTGCGTTCGTATATATATATATATATATATATATATATATATATATATATAATATAAAAGACTCAAACACTAATATTCCATGGTTATAATTTATTACATTGGAATCGTAATCACGATCCAATTCATCAGATCTACAAATTCAAAAAGATATCGGAAAATATAACTCCGGGTATAAAAAAGCAAAATTTTAGTGAGAGTGTAGGTGTGGAAGTGGGAAACAAGTGTCTGAGAGAAATGTATGAAAGCTCTAGAGAGAGAGGTGTAACATAAGAAAGAAGAACAGGAAGGCCAAAAGGTGAAGGTGGGGATTAAAATTTAACAGAGAGAAGTTTTAAAGAGAGGAGTTAAATAACGGTTTAAATGAGTGAGATACAGATAAATAGGAATTATTTTTCGATGCATAATTCGCTACCGTATCGCTGACAAAAACGCTCCTATAAAAAAAACAAGAAAACCACAAAAATAAAGAATAAATTAAACAGTCAAAAAACGGAGGAAAAAAAGAAGTAGCCGAAAAGTGCTTGAGAATATGAAAATTATTGAAAGTTTCTCTACTCCCTTATTCCTACAAAACGATTATGGAATAACTAAATGAAAAATTAATTAAATCTTGCTTGTCTTCCGTATTTAAGGAATATATATATATATATATATATATATATATATATATATATATATATATATATATATATATTCTTAATCCTACCTCCCATTTCTTTAGTCATTTATTCTTTTATTTCTGTATTTCGTGGATCATTTCCTGCCCATCCATCAGCAAACGCCATGCCATTTCTCTTGTTCGGCATCCCTACGGTAACCTTTAATTATTTCTTTCTGTACCTTTTTGTCGGATGGAAGGTTGACTCTGTTGATGCGCAGAACAGCCAAATGTAATCGGTTTTTAAGGAAAATAGGCAGAGGTGACTCGACACCACAATCCATTTACAAATGAAACCGGTGTTCCTACTCGATTCACCTGCGGATTGGAAGTTCGGGACCCTTGGTTTTCTCAACCTCAACGAAAAGGAGTGGCTGGGAGGAAAGCAACAAGCCCGATCAACCAGGTAAAAAAAAAACAAACATAAAAGCATCGTACATTTGGTTGGTCGGTATTGTTCAAGGCTAAATGTTAGTTTTTAGGAAGGATGGATCAGTGAAAATTGGGCGTCTCTTTAGAATTTAAATGTAATTTTGTCGGACAAGACGAGCACCTGGATGTGACTGGAGCGTGCGGTTTGGTAAAAAAAAAAAATAAAGAACAGCAGGTAAATGGCCGAGTGGATATGTGGATGGATGAATAGATGGACGGATGTCTAGTGGAGAGGGAATGAGGGAGGTTAAGAGGGGTTAGGGAGATTTGCGATTGTGGAAGGAGTGAAGCGTGGCAAACATCGTTTTGGGACAACCGTGTGGGTGGGCTGTAGGTAGATGATGAAAGTTGGGGGAAAATCGAAGAAGGAAATGAAAGAACAAATTGGGAAGCAATAATAGAAAGAAAAAAATGATTTTTGTCCGAAAAGTTAAAGAAGAAATAGATATGTGGCTGGGAAAAAAAAGAAACTGTATAATAGAAAACTGGAAAGAAAAGTAAAGATCATACTTATTATAAAACCCAGGTTGTGTGTGTGTGTGTGTGTGTGTGTCTGTACTTTTATATATTGGATCGGATTTCCTACATTTTTCAACCGATTTCAACAAAACTTCACATGATTACGTAAAATTACCTTGCGGTGGTTCTGACGGCGTCAAAAATTGGAAAAATACAATTGTTTTTGCACGAAATCAATTTGAAAACACGATTAAGAGGCATCGTGGGAATGAAAGGGAGACAACTCATATCGAGTTATATTTATTATAAAACCCAGGTTGTGTGTGTGTGTGTGTGTGTGTGTGTTCGTTTATATATGGGATCAGATTTCCTACATTTTTCAACCGATTTCAACAAAACTTCACTTTTTTTTGGCAGGTAGTTTTTCTTATTGTCTTGCACACTTTTTTCTTTATTTTTACATTCAGAATGCTTTAAAAATTCCATTTACAAGACAATTGTTTATAATAAAATTCTATTCAATCGGTAGACTCATAACGATTGAAAACAATGCTTTGTTTGAGTTTGGGTTTGACCAATTCGTAAAAAAACCCAAAAAAAAACAACAAGACAAACAACAAAAAAAAACAACTAATTAAGACATGCGCGTCCGTCAACCTTAAACAATAATCTTTGTCAATTTTATTTTTCAGTCTTTATGATGGTTGATACTTGATCTATCTCTTACTGTTACATCCCCGGGCAACGCCGGGTTCTACTGCTAGTAGAATATAAAATTCGAAAAGAAAGAAAGGACTTATTCGAAAACTGGAAAGAAAGAAAGAAAGAAAGGATTGTAGAAAAAAAACTGAAAAGGAAAGAAGAGCCTGAAGAGAACACTAGAAATTAAAGAAGGGCTGAAAAGAAAACTGGAAAACAAATGAATTATATAATAGAAAACTGGAAAGAAAAGTAACGATAGAATATAAAACTAGAACAGAAAGAAAGTGATTAAATGGAAAACGGAAAAAGGAAAGAAAAAGCTGAGGAGAAAACTTGAAAGGAAAGAAATGATTGAAGAGAAAACTAAAAATTATGGATTAAAAAAAAAATTGGGAAGGAAAGAAAAGGTTGAAGCGGAAATGGGAAAGAATAAAAAGAAGGCACTGGAAAGAAAGAACTGAAAAGAAATATCAATAGAAAAGCAGAATAGTTAACTGAAATTAAATGAAACTCTTGAAAAGAAACTGAAGAGAAAGAAAGAAAGGAATGAAGAGAAAACTGGAAAGGAAAGAATTGAAAAGGAAACTTAAAAGAAAGAAAGGATTGAAGAGAAAACTGGAAAGGAAAGAACTGAAAAGGAAACTGAAAAGAAAGAAAGGATTGAAGAGAAAACTGGAAAGGAAAGAACTGAAAAGGAAACTGAAAAAAAGAAAGGATTGAAGAGAAAACTGGAAAGGAAAGAACTGAAAAGGAAACTGAAAAGAAAGAAAGGATTGAAGAGAAAACTGGAAAGGAAAGAACTGAAAAGGAAACTGAAAAGAAAGAAAGGATTGAAGAGAACGCTGGAAATAAAAAGAATTGAAGAGAAAACTGCATAGAAAGAAAGGATTAAAGAGAAAACTGGTAAGAAAGAAAAGATCGTATAAAAACTGGAAATAAAAGGTATTGAAAAGAAAACTGAGAAGAAAGAAAGGATTAAAGACAAAACTAGAAAGAAAGGATTGAAGAGAAAACTGGAAAGAAAAGAATTGAAGAGAAATCTGGAAAGGAAAGAAAGAACTCAAGAGAAAACTGGAAAGAAAGAAAGGATTGAATATAAAACTAGAAAGAAAGAAAGGATTAAAGAGAAAACTGGAACGAAGAAAGGATCGTAGAAAAAAACGGAAAGAAAAAGGATTGAAGAGAAAACCGGAAAAAAGAAGGGATTGAAGAGAAAACTGGAAAGGAAGAAAGGGTCATATAAAAACTGGAAAGAAAAGTATTGAAGAGAAAACTGGGAAGAAAGAAAGGATTAAAGACAAAACTGGAAAGAAATGATTGAAGAGAAAACTGGAAAGAAGAAAGGATCGTAGAAAAAAAACGGAAAGAAAAAGGATTGAAGAGAAAACTGGAAAGAAAGAAAGGATCGTATAAAAACTGGAAAGAAAAGTATTGAAGAGAAAACTGGAAAGAAAGAAAGAAAGTATTGAAAAGAAAACTGGAAAAAAAGATTGAAGAGAAAACTGCAAATAAAGAAAGGATTGAAGAGAAAATTAAAAATGAGGGAAATAAAAGTGAAAAAAGAAACTCTATTATAGAAAACTGTAAAAGATAGTAAAGACACAATATCAAAATAGAAAAGAAAGAACTGATGCGAAAACTGATAGAACAGATTGTACATAAAACTGAAAAGGAAAGAAAGAATTGAAAAAAAACTTGAAAAAAAGAAAAGAAAGGAAAGAAAGAACAGAATTTATAAAACTGGAAAGGAAGTAAATAATTGAAAAGAAAACTGGAAAGAAAGGATTGAAAATAACTCTACAAAGAAAAAATAGAATCGAAAACTGAAAGTGAAAGAAATGTTCGAAAAGAAACTAAAAAGAAAGGAAGGAGTGAAGAGAAAACAATATAAAAAAGGAAGGAGTGAAGAGAAAACTAAATATGAAAGGAAGGAGTGAAGAGAAAACTATATAAGAAATTCAAAAAGCTTGACAATGAAGTCATGTTATAATAGCTATTCAAATCTTTAAAATACGGGTAATATTAAAGAATTTATTCTAACCAACAATTACTAAATTCTATGATAAAATTTGATATTAAAATTAAAAACTGCCAATTTTAAAATCCAAATTTAAACACTATTAATTTTAAAAACTATAAAATTACTGAGGAGAAAAGAAGAAATACATATGTTATTCAATTTATTTCTTCGTTGAAATTACGTTAGAACAGACGCTACTTCATCCGACAATATATATGCATACATTTTAATCCCAAGTGTGTGAATGGGGTCCTAAACTCACGCGTAAAACAACACAAACACAATCAGATTATAATACATAAGCACCCAAACATATTTAGATATATATATACACAAAAAAAGTGACGAGACAGGGAGCATCTCCACGGCCCTTTATAAAAAAAAAAGAGGGGGAAAACCAACACCTACGTACATACACAATTAAAAGTGAATGCACTTTCCATACACATAGACACCGATAAATACATGTACACACATCCACAGACATTGACCTAGACAATCAGATACCACAACCAATAAATAAATATTTAAGATTGAAAGTGTCATTAAACAAATGCTAACCACTTATATAACTTAAGCGAGCAAATATACAAAGATAAAAATGGTTAAAAATAATATTATTTAATATATTAAAAAACGAAAATTCCAAAACCACAAATATCAATAAAAACATATTTCAATCTTATAAGTTGATAATAGTTTCATTATATATTAGGTGAAGGAAAATAGGATAAAAAGAACTACCTACAGAAATACGTGTACTGTCATATGTACATAGACATATACACATATATACACGCGGTAGCAAACACAAACCAGCACACATATACATACATACATATATATATATACATATACATAGAAATCCATACAAAATGCATACATATACATCACCATGATAACAAGTACACATACACATACATACATATATACACACATATATACACACATTTACGCACACATACCCACATATATATATACATATATACACACACCAATACACAAACATAAACATATATACATACATAGACTAACTCATGTGGCAGTAGTGACAAACCAAAGTTTCCATACCTACGCATACACACAAACAATCTCAAATATAATAGGTGTCAACACACACATATATATATCCACAAACATACATATATATACATATATATATATATACTTACATATAAACATATACATAAATATACCTATCTATAATAACAAGTAAACATATATATGCACATACACATAAATACAACGACATTCAACCAAATACATATATAAACGTACATTTTAAAATTGGCAGTTTTTAATTTTAATATCAAATTTTATCATATAATTTAGTAATTGTTGGTTAGAATAAATTCTTTTTTAATATTACCCGTATTTTAAAGATTTGAATAGCTATTATAACATGACTCCGTTGTCAAGCTTTTTGAATTTTCCTATACTTTGATTGGTCATTCGAGCTTTCGTAACAGTGTTTTCCCCTTGCGAAGGATCGTTAACTAATTCGAAACTTTTAAAACCATTTATTTTGCATTCAACATCATCACTTGATAAGACACCAGGGGTGTTGAAACAAAATGGCTATTTCTGTAGTGATTTTATAACATATTTATGTTATAAATTTAAAAAAAAAAATAATTATATATATATATATATATTTATTAAAGACATATTTTATTTATGTTTAACGTTGTTATTTTATAGATACAATATTTAAGCAAATGTTTAATAAACAGTATTAAATAACATTTTGAATGTTTTTTCATAGAAAATATTCGTTCATAGACAGGATTAAATCCTATACGGAACCGCCATATACGCTGGCGTGCCTTGACCACTCGGCCACCATGAAAATGGTAGACAAGGTCATTTACTGTTATAAATTACAATCTTCCATGAATCTCGTACATTCATAACTGATTGTATCGAATGTAAACAAATGATCATATAAAGAAATGGAAGGTCCGACAATTTTATTTATTAAAGACATTTTTATGTTTTGTTTAATTGTTATTTTTGTTTATTTAAGCAAACGTTTTTTATAAATAAAAATGTCTTTTAAAAATAAACTGTGGATTATATACGAACGGATATATATATATATATATATAAATTGTATATTTATTTTATAACATAACCGGTTAGAAAATAAATATCATATAATTTATAGATTATATATATACCGCTATGTTTCTTAATTCCTATTGTTTATTAATAGGATTCACTTGGTTATTACGAACGGATCATTGCCTATATATATATATATATGATATATATATATATATATTTCAATTTTAAGTTGTTACTGATGTTTTGATCGATATGTGTATGAACTGCAATAAGTTTCAATAAGTGGTAAGTTAAGCTACGGGATATTGTGGTGGTTGTAACATATACAAGAATTTAATGTTTTCGGTTATTAGTATTGGAGATGCAATCCACCAATGGTACAAGGCTTAATAGTATTTTATATATACTACTATGTTCAAACGCAGTTCTACATTTAGGAGTTCAAAGTTATTGGCCTCAAAAAAAGGTTATATATTTTTGTTTATTTGCGAGTCGTCCGACTCCATTTTTATTATATATTGTTTCCTTTTACAAAACTAAAACTCATGATACCAAAGATAATTACTGAAGCATACTTATCTTTATCACTTTTATTTATAATCCTCCAGTCCGGATGGGCAATAGATTAAAGTGTGATCTTATCAAATAAATAACAGCAATTTTTTTTTTTTTTTTTTGCCTTCACTTTGCGGTCACAAAAAGTCAGCGTTTATTAGTTTTCCCCTGGCGGAACAACGCTAAGATGATTAAGATCATTAATGGGAAAAAATACCGCAAAATGACAGGAAATTGTGCAGTTTTGATTCGCTTAATCTGTTCTTTATATGTTGATTCTTTCTCTTTTTTATTTTTTTTTTTCTTCCGTGAAATATCAACGAGAACAATTAAATAACAATCCTTTAGCGTCAAAAGGATTAGTTTTGGTTTAGTCACTTGGCAAAAAAAAATTGCGACTTTTTAAATAAATGGTCAGCTGTGGTGTACTGTCAGAAATATTTAGAAACTACAGTCAATATCATATTGCGTCAAAACATCCGTTTGGCTCTGAAAGGGTAATTAAGTCTCGACAGGCTGTACTGACCTCCTTAGCACGCAATGTTAAGGGGAATTTCCAAGAAAAAGTGAAGTTAGATCCCTGCCGAGAGATACATTGTCTTTAATAATACTTTCAATAATGTAGGCCGGTAGGCGTTAAGAACAGAACTGAATAAAAAATAATGTCTTATAATCCGTAGACGAGGATTAATTGGATTAGAACAGAATGGAACCAAAAGTAATATCATATAATCCATAGACGATAGTTCCTCGTATGAGAACTGAATAGAATCAAATGTATTACCTTATAATCCGTAAACAGAGGGTCATCGGATTAGCACAGAATAGAAACAAATGAATTGTCGTATAATCCATAGACGTTTATTCATCGGATTAGAAAAAAAATGAATCAAAAGTAATGACGTACAATCCCTAGACAATGTGTCATCGGACTTGCACAGAATAGAATTAAAGGAATTTTATAATCCCAAGACAATAGGTCATCGGATTAGCACAGAATAGAATCAAATGAATTGTATAATCCGTAGACAATGGGTCATCGGATTAGCACAGAATAGAATCAAATGAATTGTATAATCCGTAGACAATAGGTCATCGGATTAACACAGAATAGAATCAAATATATTGTCCTATAATCCGGAAGGCGACGCCTTATCGGATTACATTGCTTTTTCCGATGACATCAACTGAAATAAGACTTTATAAATAATTTGCAAATTCTTTTGTTGTGACTGAAGGTAAAACACCTTGTTTTTCTGCTCTTATTCTTTCATTTCTTTTTTGCGTCTATATTCACTTTGATCCAACATCATTACTCATCGATGAGACAATTACAATGGAAACTCAATATTTTTTGTTTCATCAATAGTTAAAATCGGTGACCTGAACAAATGGTCTTTCTCTTTTAACTAAAACCCACATGTAAAATTTAACTTAGTGCACGGAACCCCGTGAACTTGTACGGAGTGCACTACTTATTGCGACATTTTAATTACAATATCAAGTTTCACAAACCTAATAGATCATAGGAGTTTCCCTCGGTCAGAGTGATATGTTAAACATACGAATGTGCTTATTTGCACAAATACTTTTAGTTCGATAATGTTGCTATTCAGAAAGGTGAGTTTAGTTTGACTCAAAGGTTCAAGTATCAGGCACGAAGTAAGGATCAAATAGACAATGATCTATAAGTCTAGCAAGCTAGACTTATAGATCATTGTGACGCGCTGAAAAACCGTCGCTAAAACTAGCTTTGCACAAGGCCACATGTATTTGAGCAGCTAGGGACGATCTAACTCACAAGCATAGTGGTAATGGTCAGCCAGAGTAGGTCGCTAACCCTTACCCCACGAAGAGGCGCACAGATATTTAATAAGTGTAGCTTAATTTTAGTACAAGATGCTATCGAAATCACTCGTGATTATCGGCAAGTCGAGATTGTTAACCATCACACCAGGAGGAGGTGGCTAGATTCAATAAAAGTTGCTAGATAACAATCGTATTTCACTATTTACATTATTCAGACTATTGTCCTCATCTTTGTTGCCTCATCTTAATATTTATCACAACGTGGTGGTTGGAATGTCGAACTGAACTCTTTATTTCGATCGCTGGGATAGACTGTTCTAGTTCCACGTGCCATGTCTAATGGATGTCAGTTATCATTTATCTCCTGTTAATTCACCTCTCCAAGTTCTCCACCGCCTTAACTAGGTATTGAACTCACATCTCTTTGGGTCCTGTCACTGGATCTAACAGGTGAATGAAGTGATGGCAGTACCCTGAATTAATCATAAAAAATTCCACTATTTCCATGACAGTGTTCAAACGAACTACATTCCTTAGTTCCACAAGCTCTAGCTTTCATGTCAAAGACCCACCAAGCCACGCCCATTGCAACGAACCACCCTCATTCTCTTTGTATTCTATTAGTGAGACGTAAGTTCCATTCGTGCAGATTCTTCCCACGAACCGCTACTTGTGGAACCGACTCCCAAGAGGATACTTCCCCGATCACTACAATCTTAACCTGTTCATGTCTAGAGTTAACTGCTATCTTTCCCATTTATCCCAATAAATTATGCCTCTTACTCTGTAAGCCTCTACCTCGAGTGTCTCTTGGGCCTTGCACAGAGTGAATATCATTGTAAAAAGAAAAAAGAAAGAACCTTTGTGCCGCTTATAAGTTTCTTCCAATGAACCGGTATTACCAGGCCCTGGGGGGAGACTTTGCCGCTGCTGACAAAGTCATGTTGTCACGGCGTTTCTGCGTTGTTATATAGAAATTGCAAAAACGTTTTTTGTCAACAGACCACCCCCCAACGTACCCCCAACGTACCCGCAACGTCACCTTGTAGCATTGCGCAAACAGAAAATGGATAAATTCCAGGAAGCTCTTGGGACGTGTATTCGTCAGCTAAATTCTGACTGCATATTACTTTGAAACACCGGTTCCGTACAATCACCGGCCTTAAGCAACGTTGAGACTGGACATTACCTAGATGGGTGACCGGTGGGAATACCATGTGTTGTAAACTTGGATGTACGAGTGGTATAATAATCATTATTCGACTATAGTCGGGATCGTCAAGCCAATGCAAACGATCCTTTCCTTTATCTGTATAATATGTGCCACGCAAGATCTACATACTGATTTGGATCCAGAGTTACTTTCTCCTAGACCGGTTGCTACCCAAAGCTATAGAATCCAGTCTGTCCTGCTATTTACCCATAGCTGGGGGGAGGATTCATATCTTTCCCAAGGGTATTAACACGTATGTGAATATAATGGACCCTGACTGGATTGGAATTTCTCCGATTCCTCAATCCGAGCCGCTATCCACCGTCATTTGATGGATAATGGGAACTGGGAATCGAAAAGCCGAATTGCAATTTTGGGGGTGAGTGATCAGTTTGGGCCCAGGAAAAGGTTGATTGCAACGTTACAGTAACGCCTCCACAACTGTCGATATCCCTAACCAAAATACAACCTGTCTACAATGTTGCAAGAATGTTCCGTGTTCGCTGGGTCAATTGTTTGGTAATTAGACACGTTTAAACCCACGCCACTTTAATCCATTTAGAGTATCTAGTGGCGAAATTATGGAATTCCCGTTTTTAGATGGTGGGGCAATATGAAGAAAGCAGAACGATAACTTCTATGCATTGAAGAGAGGCTAAGGTTCGAAATTCCAAGGAGGTTATTGAATACGAAAATAAACACCTGAAAACGATACAGCAGTCGAAATGTTGTGGGAATAGCAAACATGAAGAGTGTGCTGGTCTGAACAGTAGAACATATAAGGAAGAGAGAGTTGTTGAATAAACTGCATTGAAACATTATAAAAGAATTCTTGCGGCCAGTAAGATGCACCTCTACATGAATGAATGAATAAAAAGTAACACGGAAATATGCAGTTGGATTCCGATAGTACTAAACAGGAGAAGGCCATCCATCACCACCACGATATGTTCGCAAATATATATATATATATATATATATATATATATATATATATATATATATATATATACCCATTCCTCACTATTAGGTATTGTAATAAAAATTAAATTTAAAATCATTCCTTCTCTAATTTCGACCATGTCTGTCACACTCTCTATATCACCTTACATCAACTTAAACTACATCTAAAAAGTGTATAAAAACTATATGTAAATTTAAATTCATTTTTTTTCACCCTGATGAGCCAGGGAAAAAAAAATTCTCTGGGTAAATAAATTATAACCAATGGATCCTTAAAATTGTCTGTTTTTTATATATATATATATATATATATATATATATATATATATATATATATATCTTTAATCATTTACATCATTTTATCTATATATTTTAAACTTGTTTTTTAGTTATAACTTTGTATTTTTAAGCATAACTTTGTATTTTAAGTAACTTATTTTGAGATGACTTATTTTTAAATATAACTTGTCTATTTTATTATATTTTATTTTATTTTTAAATATTTTATTTTTATTTTATTATTTTTTATTTTTGAATATAACATATTTATTATATTAAATATAACTAATTTTTAAATATAACTTTATTTATTTTTAAATATACATTATTTATATTTAACTTATTTTTTAAATATAACTTATTTAAATATAACTTATTTTAAGTATAACTTATTTTTTAATATAACTTTGCATTTTTAATTGTAAATTTATATATTTTAAAGTTATTTTTAAACCCCTTTTTTATTGTTCTTTTAGTTTTAAATTGATATTTCATTCTTTATCTAACCCCAATTTAATGTCATAAGGTTAATATCCGGGTTTAATTTTCTAAAACTTCTCTTGAAGACAAATAACATCCACCCTCATCTGACCTCTCTCTCATGCCTTTTGTCTGACTGAAACATTGAAATGGATATATTCTGTATTATTTTTCGACTGTTATTTTTTCTTTCCTTTTTTAACGTTCACCACCAACCAAACAATTTGTATTTCTGACACGAACACAATCTACACAGGAGTTGATATGACAGACGATTTATATTTTCGTCAGCCGAAATAAGCTTATTCCCCATATGAAGTGATTTGGGATTTTTTATTGTATATATATATATATATATATATATATATATATATATATATATATATATATATATATGATAAAAATAAACTTTTATGGTTTGCTATATTGATAGGTGAAAGTGCTCAGTATCAGAAAGAAGCGTATGTAAATATAAAAGTAGACATTGACGTCAATCCCAAGCAGTGACAGTCTGTTTCATGCCAAGGAGATGCACCTAAACATGAATAAAAATTGATTTCAGACCATGTGTTTTGGCTCGACTGTTTATATATGCTGGTCAACGGTGCATTATGTGTATTAAGGTCTATCGTATTATACTGATGTTTATTGGCCTATTGGGTGGGCGATAAGTGTTATGTTTCAGATGATTCTAAAGGATGTTGTGTAGAAATAATTGTGGAACAGGATGCAGTTATTTGTAGCTATTTTCAGTGTTGTTTATTAACTTTTTACTCATCATTATTATTATTATTGATTACTTAACTGTTTGTTGTTGATTATTAGTAGTATTTCATTTACTTGTGTTTCTGTACATTTTTTATTTGTTTATTATTTACTTAATTTGTTTATTTATTTTGATTTTTTTGTTTATTTTTTATTGTATTATTATGTTTTGTTTGTTTTTTTCTCGGAGGTAGGTTATCTTTTTTGTTTAGTTTTAAATGTTGGCTTTGTTTAAAGTGTATTACATTATCTGCTTTGTATATACTGCATATATATTTGAATTTTTCATGGTCGTATTTTACGAGGTAGTCTTCCTTTTTCAAGTAACATGGTAAAAATTTGTCTTCGTGTCTGCAATTTGAGATAAGTTCTGATAGTATATTTAGTAATTTTTGTTGATCTAGGAAGTTGATTATGTCTATTTTCTCCTCTAGACAAAGTTTACAGTTTTTGGATTAATTACTGTAAGTTAATGCTGTTTTCCTTATTTTCCATGATATTTTGGGGACAATTTGATTTTTGCTTCTAATTTCTCATATATGTTTAGAAAGTATTGTGCTGTTCGTGTATTTACATTTTTTAAAGGATGTTTTGTGTACGTAATTTCTCTGTTTCCAGTTGTCTTCATTTAGTCCTATATATAGTTTTTCTTCAATATCTGTTGATTTTACAGTGGTTTAGTATATTGTTTTGCAAACAATATAATAAGCAAAGTGTACTGGTCAAAATCCTGAGTAGCCTATTAAAAAATCGTATGCGTCTATAACATAATTCTAATTTTCATAACTTTGGGTTTTTTCTTTTCTTCCCTCTTTCTTCTCTCGCACATTCGCTATCCCTAATTAAAATACAAATCTCTTCATCCTTTTTTTCGCTTTTCCTGTTCATTATTTATACTTTTACTTTTAGGTGAACGTCCTCTGTTTAAAAAAAATCTTTTCATATCGTTCTCTACCTTCTTGGTCTTGTTTTATTATTATTATTATTATTACTATTATTATCATTATTATTATTATTATTATTATTATTTCCTCTCTTTCTTTCATTTTTTAAGTAACCGCCGGCTGCAAACCGCCTGTACAGTTGCGATTTTGGAACGGACAATAGCGCGCCGTACCTGTTGTCGGAATGAAATGTGAATCACGTCTAACCTCTACTGATGTCTTTGAAGCAACCGACAACATTATTCAACCCTAGCTTCTCTTTTTTTTTTATCTATAGGAGTTCTCTTCTTTGCTTCCCAGTTCTTCCTTCCTTTCCTTTATTTCTTCAACACACACACACACACACACACACACACACACACACACACACATATATATAAATATATATATATATATATATATATATATATATATATATGGAGGGGGAGAGATTATAGTTCCAACGAGAGAAAAGTGTATATTTTAAAGAGAAGAGAGAAGCTGTAAACGTTTTTGGTTTAAAGTGAATTTTTAAAAGATATTTCATACATTATTTTCCAAATTTTTGCTACACGTGTTGACCATCATCAGGCGAAGAGTGGTTATTTCCATATATTATTTAGAGGAATTCATTTTTCCTTACGTTTTCCGATGTTTAACCATTGTCTTTTGGGTGTAGTAGTAATCCAAATTTTTTTTTGTACTTGTGGAGAAAATATTCTTCTACTTAAGGGGTAATAAAACTTAATTAGGATTGGTCAGAGAAAGGGCGAAGGAAGGAGGTCTTTGTTCTTATCTTTTTATGACTCCTGTAGCTTTTTAAACCTATCTCCATTTTTGTGTATTGTGTGAGCGTGTATGAGCTAGTATCTGTATACATGCCCTTTCTCCATGCATATATTATAAGGAATTAGTATATATATATATATATATATATATATATATATATATATATATATATATATACACTTCCTATGGTGTGTAGGGTTCGTGTGTGTATATGTGTGTGCGTGTGGTCCGGCTAATGTGTTTGTATATATATATATTCATTCACCATAGCCATTTGTGTGTGCGTGCATGTGTAATGGTTCGACTAGATGTTCTGCTATTATATGTGTATGCTATGTTTTTATATGTGTGTGGTTATGATCTGTTTAATGCTAGTTTAAATTTGTCTAAGGAGTTTTTTCTTGTATCTGTAGGTAAGAATAATTGTCTGTTTGATTTATTAACATAATTTTAAATTTATCTTGATTACATTTGTAGATGTGTTGTGATACAAAGAGTTTTTGTTGTCTGATAATTTGATATTGCTTATGT